CAAAAAACGTCAAAACGGCTGAACCGACCAAGCCCAAATTTTGTGTGGGAACTCACGTGACCCCAGGGAAGGGTTTATGAATTATCAAAATATTTGAAATTTTGCTTTTTTTGTAAAATTTTGAAAATGCGCTAAAAATATTATGAAACCCGCTAACCGCTTTTGTTTTATACAAAGAGAAGATGCTCGCAGATAAAGCCACATTTAAAAGTTGAAATAGAAGATGGGCGCGAAGCGCCCTAAAAGCCTTTTTTTATATTTTAATCTGAATTTTTTAACATCAAAGAACATGCGTGTTTTGGTGCACAATTATGAAGGGTTGAAAAATCATATAACGAAGAGGAACTTTTCAATTATAATTTCGTAAGAATGATAATACTTGTATAATCCTATGCAATCTCGAAATCTATGCAATGAGAATCAGAAAACTGGAATAAGAAGACAACTTTTAGATTTTATTTTTGACCATAAAGGGACTGTAAAGTAAAATGAAAGGGGGATTAGGATGAAACCTGAGAATCTCAGGAGTTGAACGATACCTATAAGACATCTATCTGATGTTCCGGGCTTGTGAAATTGATATAAAATTGTGTCAAATTTACACAAAAATTCATGTATATTGAATTTTGTAATAATAAACAGATTATTTTCAACCAATCTGAAAACGACGATATCCCACAGGAGCCTGAGAATCTCAGGTTTGCTCCTATTGATTATTTTTTAAATAGAAATAAATAATAACTACATATAGTCCTTATTACGTCACCAGAACTTCAGCCAATCGCAATTTGAGACAGTTTTATATCAATTTCTCGAGACAGGAACATCAGATAGATGTATTATATGCATTGTTTAATTGCCTGAGATTCTCAGGTTTCATCCTATACCCCCTTTTAATTTTACAGTTCCTGTAAGTAGTTCAATGACCTCTAAACACAATAATTGTGGAGCGTAAACAGACCTATTTCATACAGTAAGTGATTTAATAAGTTAATATTTAAACCATTTGCTTTGTAACGACATCAAACACACTTATTCCGCAGTTGCCTGGTTCTCACTGTCCCCGGTGGTGCAACCCCCTTATCAATGTGAAATTTCAGCAACCTACCGTTTGCTTGTGCATGCTACTGTTCGGTGTTGGAACTGTCAGAATGGGTTGGATTTATTATGAGAATGAGAAAACTGGACTTTACGAGAACAGAGCTTATAAAAAGTTCTATACTGTTATGAGGTAAAAAACAATTTAAGATTTCTCTTCCCCTCTGAATTTTTGTTTGTATTGGTATCGCTGAAGAGGGGATAAAAAGTATAAAAACATGCTTATCTTATCCCCCCCATTCCCCCCTTTCCCCGTAGGGTATTTCAGGGGAATGGGTTAATCGCATTACAGGATTACCGGAGTCAAGATATGAACGAATTACGACGTATAATACATTAGGCCTCAAGTTTTTCAACAAGGGTTGCAAAAATAAACATATTTTTAGCTATTTTACAATAAATTTCAACGGATTTAGGATAATTATACATACAAATAGATTATAACAACCTTCAATGAAAGTTTTGGGGCGTCGCAAGCAATGATCGGGCCCAAATGTTTGTGTGGGACTCCAACAAAATTCCATTTTCATTTAACTTTAAGAATTCACATTCCACAAACATTTTTTAGAAAATCCGCAAACATTAATTGATTTATTGATTGATACCAGGGATCCTTTGGGAAAGTATTTCTAGTCAAGAAAGTGAATGGAAAAGATGCAGGAGTTCTGTATGCGATGAAAGTTTTGAAAAAAGCAACATTGAAAGGTAAAAATAAATATCCATTTTTGTTAAAATAAATGCGCTTTTTACTGTCCTTTTTATTTACCTTTAAAACATAAGCAACAATGGTGTTTTTGTTCATGCAGTACGTGCAAAATTTAGGCCATTTTTTTAACGGATTTGGTTTAGAAATTTTTGAACTTATATGGGTCACGATTTCATCGAAAATTAACTAAAATCTGCCCCTTCTTGTAATGTTTTTTTTAAAGCAAACATTTTTTGTTGTTTAAAATAAAATTTTAATACAAAAAAAAAAAAGTTCCNGGGGGGGGGGACGGAACTAACAAATGCACATTCCTTTTGACGAGCTGGTTTTAACAAAAGTTATTGTGAATGCTAGAGCATGAAAAATACATTTTTTCCGAAACAAGTTACAAGTGTTACCTAAAAGGCTACAGTTTAAAATAATTTTTGATTCTTTACAAATATATTTTTTTATTGTATTTAATTATTTTCAGTTCGTGACCGAGTTCGAACCAAGTTGGAGCGAAATATTCTAGTCGATGTCAACCATCCCTTCATTGTTAGAATACAGTATGCTTTCCAGGTCAGTTCCTCCATTTTTACCAGTGCTTAGGATCCATTTATGGATCCAGTTATTTTGATGTGGATCAGAAAATCCCTGAGTCAACCTGTAAACATGGATCCGTATTAAGATCCCCCAAAATTTTTTAACTTTTTAGTTTTGCAAATTTCTCAGGCCAAATTTTTTTTATTTTTCATGCAGATTGCAGAAAATTAATTTACTATTCAAAGAATTAGAGCAATTTGATGATCTTATTTGTTTAGAGTAATTGTTTCCGATGTTTTGCTAGTTTGATTCGGATCCTTGGATCCTAACATTTTTGTGGATCCAGATCCAAGGAGCTAAAATGTTTAGGATCCAATGGATTAGGATCCGAATCACTAATAGGCATCTGTGCATTGTGTACTTAACTAAAGACAGGAGGATACTATTTCTTAACAGTTGACCTTGACTTGTCATCTAGGAAAACTAGCTTAATTTTAGACAATAATGCAGTCGGCATAATATCCTTTGATTAGTGTTGTGTAGTCAATAGTCATCATGTCATGTATTAATGTCAATTTTTCCTTAAAAACCACTAACTACACAGACTGCTCATACACTATCTGGATAGGCTAAGCAGGCCTATGGTGTCCCGGCACGCCATGCTACGGTTCCATGCAATGTTTTTTGACTGACATATCACGGCCTCTTGTTGTATTCATGTGTTAAGTTTTACAACTTTTAAAGAGATACTGCAATTTTAGATATAAACATAACGTTAGTGAATATCGTCTATTTTTAAAGATTTTGCATTTCCTATTCAAAGGATCCTTAAATATCCCTGAATACAGATGTCTCCTGTTTGGTCGTGTACACTGTACAGTACTTGTCCACAAAGCAGTGCTTAGGATTACGGATTCGGATCCAAGGCGTAAAATGTCAACCAAAACTTTTGGGGGAAAAGAGAGATTATAAAAGTTTCCTGATCTCTAAGTGGTTCATCAAGATTTAGCATAAAAATAACCCCCAAAAAAAGAAGAAAAATAATTTGACAATTTGCTTTTAAAAAAAAAATTACTAAATCTTAAAGAAATGTTCATCCGGATCCGTATCAAAATCAAATGGATCGAAATGTCGAATGTCCGTTGTGAATTGTGATGAATTTTATACTCAAATTAATTGCATTTGCCAACCGATAGAATTGCATATAGAAGTCAAATGAGTTTCATGAAANATAATGAACTATAATGTCCTGTATTTAGACTGAAGGGAAACTGTACCTGATTCTAGATTTCCAGAAGGGAGGAGATCTATTCACTAGGCTGGCCAAGGTAGGATAATCAAACTGATATTATTAGTTAGAGATTGTACGCGTAAATTCAAGTAACTATCTATGCAATAATGACAATGCCAGATTTACAACAGTATCCTTAAAAGCTTTGTCTGATCAATTATCAATTAGATATTAATGTTTTTGTTTATTTTCATTTGTGGTTCTCTCTTTTTTCAAATTAAGGTTTCAATGCTTTTAATGGTACCGTTGTAAATCAGACATTGATATCTTTTCATGGAGGGTCACTTGAAATTGTCAATTTAAATTGATTCAGATAAACAAAGACTGAAAAAATGTTGCAGTAGATTCAAATCTAATCTACAGAAAAACAAACTACATATTTATGTCAAGTGTAGAAACTTTAAGAAAATTCGAAAAAAGGAAACATCCAAATTATTGTGTCAGCTAGCTGTATGCAGAACTGCTTAGCCATATTTAGCGTAATGGGTTTTGTGTTACAGGAAGTAATCCCTTGTAATGCAGGAATTAATGTTTACGGAAGTAATCCCTTGTATTGCAGGAATTAATGTTTACGGAAGTAATCCCTTGTATTGTAGGTATTAATGTTTACGGAAGTAATCACTTGTATTGCGGGAATTAATGTTTACGGAAGTAATCACTTGTATTGTAGGTATTAATGTTTACGGAAGTAATCCCTTGTATTGCAGGAATTAATGTTTACGGAAGTAATCCCTTGTAATGTAGGTATTAATGTTTACGGAAGTAATCCCTTGTATTGCAGGAATTAATGTTTACGGAAGTAATCCTTTGTATTGTAGGAATTAATGTTTACGGAAGTAATCACTTGTATTGCAGGAATTAATGTTTACGGAAGTAATCCCTTGTAATGCAGGAGGTAATGTTTACGGAAGTAATCCCTTGTATTGCAGGAAGTAATGTTTACGGAAGTAATTCCTTGTAATGCAGGAAGTAATGTTTACGGAAGTAATCCCTTGTATTGCAGGAAGTAATGTTTATGAAAGTAATCCCTTGTAATGCAGGAAGTAATGTTTACTGAAGTAACCCCTTGTAATGCAGAAATTAATGTTTACTGAAGTAATTCCTTGTATTGCAGGAATTAATGTTTACGGAAGTAATCCCTTGTAATGCAGGAAGTAATGTTTACGGAAGTAATCTCTTGTATTGTAGGAATTTATGTTTACGGAAGTAATCCCTTGTATTGTAGGAATTAATGTTTACGGAATTAATCCCTTGTATTGTAGGAATTAATGTTTAACGGAAGTAATCACTTGTATTGCACGAATTAATGTTTACGGAAGTAATCACTTGTATTGCAGGAATTAATGTTTACGGAAGTAATCCCTTGTATTGCATGAATTAATGTTTACGGAAGTAATCCCTTGTAATGCAGGAATTAATGTTTACAGAAGTAATCCCTTGTAATGCAGGAATTAATGTTTACGGAAATAATCCCTTGTAATGCAGGAAGTAATGTTTACTGAAGTAATCCCTTGTAATGCAGGAAGTAATGTTTACTGAAGTAATCCCTTGTAATGCAGGAAGTAATGTTTACTGAAGAGGATGTAAAGTTCTATTTAGCTGAACTAGCTCTAGCTCTCAACCATCTTCATACACTGGGCATCATCTATAGGTTAGTTTTTCGACATTTTTTCAGGCTAAATTTTTTAATTTTAACCTTTCCATAAACATTCCCTTCAAAAGGCCCAAATGGTTCAGTCATTTTGACGTTTATTTGTTACAGACAGACAAGCAAAGCATATTTTTTTATTTTTAGACATTACTTTTACAAAGTGAATAAAATAACAAACTATGCTGAGATTGTGTGCCACAAAATTATAACTAGACTTGTGCTTTTTTGTAAATCTTTTTTTTTACTTAAAATCGGATTATCTACTTAAATAAGGTTATCATTGGTGTTTGTTTTTGCAATTTTTTGAACCAGTTGAATCGGTTAATATTAGTTAATATTAATACATTGCTTCTGCAGAGCTTGCAACTTTTGAAGTCCATTTAAATCCATTTAAATCCATTTAAATCCATTTAAATCCATTTAAATCCATTTAAATCCATTTAAATCCATTTAAATGCATTTAAATCCATTTAAATCCATTTAAATCCATTTAAATCCATTTAAATCCATTTAAATCCATTTAAATTCATTTAAATTCAATTTAATTATTCTTATAGGTGAGAAATGATTTCTAAAATTGTCTCTACAATTCTGCATTCTCAGCTCAACTACCATGTCTAGCCAGACACCCCATTTAGGGAAACAAACTAAATTTGTGTGTTTAGGGACCTGAAACCTGAAAACATTCTACTGGACTGTGAAGGACACATAGCAGTCACAGATTTCGGTTTATGTAAAGAAGGATTTGAAGAGAAAGCGTACAGTTTCTGTGGTACTGTAGAGTACATGGCACCAGAGGTGGTTAACAGGTTAGTTTTAAAGGGAGTAGTTTTATTTTAGACAATGAGGAAGGTTTTCCAATTCAAACTAAGTCTTGTCTTAGAATAAAGATTGTGTTCACTTTTTTGCGTAATGAAGGTTTCAATGTAACCGCAGGGGTATATATATACATTGAAATATTTATACAGGCGTATATATATATATATACATTGAAATATATATGCAGGGGTATATATATATACATTGAAATATATATACAGGGGTATATATAAGGCATCTTTTGAAAATATATACCCTGCCTGACCATATGACATTAAAATATAGTAACTAACATTTGGTCAAAGTAGCTGATCTATTAATGAATTCCCGTGTGTTTTTGAATATTTTTTATATAAATGAAATCTAATCAATATTTACTCTTTAATGAATGTACGTTTTATTCATCCGTAAATGTAAAAAACTTTTTTGGGGGAATTATTTTTTTTTCATAAACGCTTAATGCTCATGAATATCTAGGCATGGTCATGAATATGCTGCTGACTGGTGGAGCTATGGTGTACTAATGTATGAGATGTTGACAGGGAAGCTACCCTTCATGGTAAATCTAATTCTAATAAAAACATGACATTGTTGGGTGGTGACTGGCCGGGCCCATATTTTAACTTATTTTACGGATTAAATTAGTTCCTATTGAATATCCTTTAATGGATTTACCCCCTTCAGATATAACTAAAAGTGAGGACTCAAGTTCTTACGTCTCAAATTAAAATGCTTTTACCGAGCTCAAAAATACCGATTAGCGAGCCTTGTTTATCGTCGTTATTTCCTTGCCAATGAAGTGTTTAATTCTGTTAATTCCTTGTATGTCTCTGCTGCACAGATCTGCAAGTTACTTTAACAACGCAAACATAGTTTAAAAAAAGCAAGCTCTAAGGATGGTACCAGATACAAGTGCTTAGGATCCGCAACATTTTAGTTCCTGGATCCGGATCCGGCCAAATATGAGGTTCCAAGAGCAAAATATCAACTAAAAACTGCAAAAACAAATTTGCTTAAATTTGAGAGGTGCATCAAGTAATTGCATAAAAAAGTAGAAAAAAGTAAGAAAAATTCTGTGGAAATTATTCACGTGCTTAAAAAATCCAGTAAATCTTAAATGTTCAAAGCCTGGATTCGGATCCGGATCCATTTTTTTCTAGTGCGGATCCAGGATCCGGATCCGCATCAAATTAAATAGATCCCATGCACTGAATGGTACATCGAGTATATAATTCTCAAAGTGGAGATTTATTTAATTATGGTTGACAGTCCCTTTAACTATCATTATTCTAGGGTGAGGATAGAAAGGATACGATGAGTCAGATCTTGAAAGCAAGATTGTCAATGCCAAACTTTCTCTCCGCAGAGGCTCAAAGTCTGCTTCGTGTTCTCTTTAAAAGAAACCCTGGTAATTAACTCATTAATTATTTCAAATTAGTTTTTCAAAATTGCTACGATAAAAGATGCACGAACATTTTGTGTACATTGCTTCTGCAGAGCTTGCAACTTTTGAAGTCCATTTAAATCCATTTAAATCCATTTAAATCCATTTAAATCCATTTAAATCCATTTAAATTCATTTAAATGAATTTAAATCCATTTAAATCCATTTAAATCGGCTACAAATGAATTGAATTAATTTTCAACGACGGCTTTGATTATTAATCCGCTAGCAGCCCATATTAACGACTAAAAATCGATTCAGAACTTCAGGAAAAATTCACATATTGAAAGAGAAAAGATGTTATTATTTTATTTCTTAAATGAGCTAAAGGATTTCATTGGTCTCTCTGTGAATTACTTGTAAGTTGACTGATTTTATGTTTAATAATGAAGACGATATTGTTTTATTCAGCAAACCGGTTATGTTCTGGTCCTGCCGGCATAGAAGATCTTAAGAAGCATCCCTTCTTTGCTTCCATAGATTGGAACAAACTTTTAAATAAAGAGGTAAACAAACTTGTTCAGAGCTTTTTAATCTAGGAACTACTCAAGATATTTTCATTAAATCTCTTGCAGTAAGCAGGTTTTAAAAGTGATGCTAAATAAATTAGTAAAAAGTTGATATACAGTCTTCTTATTAAAAAACTTTTGAAATTGTATTATTAATTCGAATCTGTTATACCTGATTTTCTCTGAAGCGTTGGAAGCCTATGAAAGGAATACTGGTCTAAAATTACAAAATAAGTTACTGATAAAAACGACTCCCATCCCGAATTTTGACTGTTAAGAAATTGTAAGCGTAATTTGAAGTGACCCTTTATGCTATGATGGTAATGCCCTATTTACAACGGTACCCTTGAAAGCTGTATCTGACCCAAGTATGAAGAAGATATCAATGTTTTTGTTGCTTTTAACTGTTTATTTTCATTTGTGGTTCTGCGAAAGTGACTTGCGCATTTCTTGATTTGAAGAAGAAATTAGGGTCTCTGTCATTAAGAGAAAAAGTAAACTACACGGACATATAGCGCCGTTGTTACAACTTCATACTAGCGGCGAATACGGGAACTAACTATTTGTATAGCTTTGGCCGCTAGGTGAAACCACATTGGATTATGGTTTACAGTCGTCTTGGTTAGTTACCTTCTAAGAAGTCTAAATATCTGAAAAGAAATGGATAAACTCGCAGAAATAAACACTTTTCAGATAAACGACAGTATATTTCACATTTTTTATCAGATAAGGGTTTCGAGGCTACCGTTGTGAATCGGACATTGCCATCTCTGTATAGAGGTCACTAAAAATTTCGCTTACAGTCCTTTAAAATATAGAATTATAATTTAGGTTCAGCCTCCTTTCCAACCAACCGTGGTCCAGGATGATGCGTTCTATTTTGATACAGAGTATACTTGCAGAACTCCTAAAGACTCCCCTGCAGTGCCCGCGAGGTTTGTTAGTTTTTTGTTTGGATGTTTGTTTTTATGTTTGTTTGTTTGTTATTTAGTTTGTTTGTTTGTTTGTTTTTGTGTTAGTTTGTTTATCAAAAATGAAAAAGTCAAACAGTTTACAAGCTTTAATGCCTTGCTTCATTCTTGAGTTAGTAAAGTCATCTCGAGATATAATCTTGGATAGGATAGGACCTCATTAGAAGCCTGATTTGATTGTTTGGGAGTTTGTTTGTTTTTATGTTTGATTATTTGTTTGTTTGGGAGTTTGCTTGTTTGTTTCTTTGTTTGCTTGGGAGTTTGTTTGTTTTTATGTTTGTTTCTTTGTTTTGTTTGGGAGTTTGTTTGTTTTTATGTTTGTTTATTTGTTTGTTATTATGTTTGTTTTATGATAATCTGCAGATTTATTTCATCTTTATTCGATTTCCCGCATGAGGCTGAATGGATGGATGGATGGAAGGATGAATGAATGAATGAATGAATGAATGAATGAATGAATGAATGAATGAAAGGATGAATGAATGAATGAATGAATTAATGAATTAAAGGATGAAAGGATGAATGAATGAATGAATGAATGAATGAATGAATGAATGAATGAAAGGATGAATGAATGAATTAATGAATTAATGAATTAATGAATTAATGAATTAATGAATTAATGAATTAATGAATGAATGAATTAATGAATGAATGAAAGGATGAATGATTGAATGAATGGATAACTAAAATGAAGAAATTAGGTATTGATATTCAAATTAAAAGTGTCCGCAGTGGATATCAAGATCAACCAATCGGGATTATGAGTATCCAACACATTCCCAGCTATGATAAATAAAATTGTTAAACCTATTGATTGGATTGACTGGTTGATTGATTGGTACTGGAGCTGTTTCGAGGGTTCAGTAATGTTGCTCCTCTTCTTGTAGATAATGTTAAAATTGTGATTGATTGATTGTAGATAATGTTAAAATATTGATTGATTGATTGATTGATTGATTGATTGATTGATTGATTGATTGATTGATTGATTGATTGATTGATTGATTAATTGATTACTTAGTGCTGCTACCCATGAGCTGTTCCGAGGGTTTAGTTATGTTGCTCCTCTTCTCATAGATAATGTTAAAATTGGGACACCGCCAACTATTCAGGTTAGTGAAGACCAGGGTCAGGATATAATAAATTGGAGAGGTCGCTACGGCCGGTTCGAATCATGAATTACCGATTCAAATTCATAAATCTTTAATGTAGCTCAGCGAACTAGCTCAAATTCATTAAATTCGAGCCCAGGTGTTTATTTAAAAGTTTTTTTCAAATCGTCGCTAAGTTTGCAATCTTATATTTCAAGAAAATCAATTTGCGAAGTTGTTTAAAATTTTATAAATTTGTTTTGAAGGCGAATGCCCCGACCCTGATGCCAAAACCACCAAATTCGTCCGATAGAAGGATATCCCCGCAGGTATAAACAAAACTTATCTTCTATATTTATGTTAGTATGTATGGACTCCAGGCCGGTGGTGCATAGCGCCCTGAAGGCAGTCTGGGGGTTCCACGATGGGTTGGCTTTCAGATTTACACTAGATTTTATTTGATATATGTCCAATCAAAACTCAAGAGCTCTTAACCGATTTGCCTCGAACTTTGATTGGGGAACTTGTTAGAATCACAGGATTGGTGAAATTGTACTATTCCATTGGATTCTATGATGAGCTAAAAGTACAGGGTGTCCCACGAAACATACCAATTAAATGCTAAAAATAATCAAAGGTGAAAGCCTTCATTCTACTTTAATGCTTCGTTGGACACCCTGTGTTAAACTAGGTCTAAACTCTGACAATGGATGAAGTGTTCTCATGGCAGAAAACGAAAACAAAATTAAGATTAGAAACTATCCGACTGTTTCAACTATTTGTATTTATTACTACTTCTGAATATTCATTAATTCCAACCTATCTAGATATAAAATATCAACTTCGCTATCTGTAGTTGTTAAAAAATTGGAACGATAATTCCCCCCTAGAACATTACAAAACAAACAAAAAATAATTCCATTTTTGTGGATTTTTCTCTTTTCTTTGGAGGATTTTCTAAAAAATCAATTTTAAATTATAATGATCTAGGTGTTAAAGAATGTTAAGACCGGGAATATACGCGATGAATATGATGTACTTGAAGAGATAGGGAAGGGTGCGTACAGTACATGTAAACGCTGCGTACACCGGGCATCCAGGGTCGAGTACGCAGTCAAGATTATTGATAAGAGTAAACGGGATTGCGAGGAAGAGGTCTCAATACTACTCAGATATGGACAGCATCCTAATATTATATCACTTAGGTTAGTTTTTTATATAAAGTAGGGCTTCAATTTATCCCCTGGAGCAATTTGGATCATTCAAGAGGCCTTATGGAACCTTTTCAGAAGCTGTTGAGATTTAAAATGACAAACCTTAAAAACTTTTAAAAGTAACTGATTTAGGCAAAAATCAAACCCTAGATGCTTCAGGAGCTAGGTGTTCATTCTTTTCAAAAGTTTCCGGGACAATTACTCCGGATCAATTCCATATTGAATAATCGTCTCGTAAACTTTTTGCAGAATGTCACACTTAGTTCTGTGTAGCTTCTACGGGGAAGGTTTTAAAGAAAAGTCTGTTTGAAAAGGTTGTTTCCATTCCTGACAGCTTCAGGGAAGGTTCCATTCTTTTAGTGACAAATTTGACCCGGAAGAAATTGAAAATACTATTATAAATGATGAATGTATTTCACTCTTTAGTTCTCATCATTGTGCACCTTGCTCACATCTCTTGTTAACCCTAATTGTGCCTCCTTGTTTGCGTTCTAATTTTTTTAAGAGAAATTAACCTTAATTATGTCTAGAGATATGTTTGATGAAGGGAGATTAACCCTAATAATGTCTAGAGATATGTTTGATGAAGGAGATTAACCCTAATAATGTCTAGAGATATGTTTGATGAAGTAGATTAACCCTAGTAATATCTAGGGATATGTTTGATGAAGGAGTATAACCCTAATAATGTCTAGAGATATGTATGATGAAGGAGATTAACCCTAATTATGTCTAGAGATATGTTTGATGAAGTAGATTAACCCTAGTAATGTCTAGGGATATGTTTGATGAAGGAGATTAACCCTAATATTGTCTAGGGATATGTTTGATGAAGGAGACAAGAAGTGTTTGGTGTTTGAACTGATGCGAGGAGGAGAGCTTCTAGATAAAATTGTTAGACAAAAATTTTTCAGGTAAAATTTTAGTTTTATAAGTAAAAATATTTATAAAATCCTCAATTCAATACAATGTTAATGAAGTCCATTAACCACAATGAAAATGACAAATTTGATTTGAAACTGATGAAAAATTAATTTTTTTTTGTTCAGTGAAAGAGAAGCTAGAGCTGTAATGGAGAAGGTGACGTCAGTTGTTAAATATCTTCATCAGAACGGGGTGGTACACAGGTATTGTACTGAAAGGTGTCCACTGTACATTGGTACAGTAGTAGGGGAAGGGGGGGATTCTACGTACATGTCATACAATCAGAACGAGGTGGAACACAGGTACTGTTCAGAATAGATGTACACTATACATAGGTACTGTAAGGTTTGTTAAACATGTTTTGTAATCAGAACAGGGTTACCACAAAAAGTGTCCTAGGCCATTAAATCTGCCACAAATAGTATCATAGGTCATGCAATCTGCGACAAACAGTATCCTAGGCCATAAAATCTGTCACAAATAGTCTCCTAGGCCATAAAATATGCCACAAATTTTATCATTGCTTAGGCCATAAAATTAAATCTGCCACAATTAGTATCCAAGGCCATAAAATCTGCCACAAATAGTATCACAGGCTACAAAATCTGTCACAAATAGTATCATAGGTCATACAATCTGCCCCAAATAGTATCCTAGGCCATAAAATCTGTCACAAATAGTCTCCTAGGCCATAAAATATGCCACAAATTTTATCATTGCTTAGGCCATAAAATTAAATCTGCCACAATTAGTATCCAAGGCCATAAAATCTGCCACAAATAGTCAATCTGTCACAAATAGTATCATAGGTCATACAATCTGCCCCAAATAGTATCTTTGACCATGCCATCTGCCACAAATAGTATCTTTGGCCATGTAATCTGCCACAAATAGTATCTTAGTCCATAAAATCCGCCACAAATAATATCGTACTTAATTCTAACCTTGATTGTAGAGACCTGAAACCATCAAATATCCTATACGCTGATGATTCTGGGAACCCGGAAACAATTCGTATTTGTGATTTTGGGTTCGCTAAACAGCTTCGGGCTGATAACGGGATGCTGATGACACCCTGCTACACGGCTAATTATGTTGCCCCTGAGGTAATAGTTAATTGTAATTGATCCTGATTTCAAAATTTGCACCGTCTTAAAATAGAATCCCAATTTTTAAGTAAAAAACATGAAATTTTTAAAGAGTAAGAAATCATAGTAAAAATCGGCCATATTTTGGGCAACTTTTTCTTTTTCTTTTAAAGCATGCGTATTTTTGTGCCCGTATGATTTAATTTTTTAAGATTGTAAATCTTTTCTTGAATTAGTAGTTTTAAGGAACAGCTTTTCCATCAATGCATATTTATTAGATTTACATTTTAGATTTTACATTAATTCTGATCAGTATTTTTTATTTCATCCCAAGTTTTGAGAAATGTATGACATCAGTAAATGTTCTAGGTTCTAAAGAAGCAAGGATACGATGCTGCTTGTGACGTGTGGAGTTTAGGTGTTCTTCTCTACACAATGCTTGCTGGGTAACCGGTTTTTTATTCATTATAAAAAGATATTACTGAAGAAATTTCAACGGACTTTCCCTTGACCGATTTTTCCAGAATGCAGGAGATATTATCATCTTGAAAATTGGGTTTCTTTAATAATTTGTGCACTAACTTGCACATTTCTGCTTTAAAAACGCTGAAGGAAATATGCACCTTAAAATTACAATGACAGTTGCTGTAACCAAAACAATTTTCTTTAACGGTCATTATTTAATTCTGAAATTTTTTTTCTAAATAATTTAATAATTAAGAGACTAGTGAAAGAAAGTAGAAAATATTAGAATGATTCGTGGTTGTCAATAGCAAACCAAATTCTTACTTGAAGGAAATTGTCTAAAATGTTCAATAGTTAGAATAGCGACCTATAATCAACAAAAATATTTGACAAAAATAACTTTTTAAGTTTTTGTCAAGTTTCAGAAAATGTTTTATTTTTTGTAGAAAGTAACAAAAATGAGGGGGTGAATGCCTAGGGGCAAATATACAGTATATACCATTGGTAATTTCCTTTGGAGTTCATTCAGAGCTTGAAAAATATTGATTTAATTTCCTGCTTATTCAGACAAACTCCGTTTGCTGCCGGACCCCAGGATACCTCAGAGGAGATACTGACAAGGATAGGGAAGGGACAGTATGAGATAAATTCAGGTTAATATCTCCAGGTTAAGACATGGGATTGACATGGATAGGGAAGGGGCAATATGAGATACATTCAGATTAATATCTCCAGGTTTAGACATGGGATACTTACCAGGATAGGGAAGGGACAATATGAGATAAATTCAGTTTAATATCTCCAGGTTAAGACATGGGATAATGTCT